ACTTACCAGTTTTCCCTTTAAAAAAGCAGGCCAGGTATACCTAAAGAAGCCTATCCAATTTCCCCTCTACAGTTGGGAGAACCTGACAAGATAGACAGGAAATTTCAGGGGGATGAGATTTCCTGTGAAACAATTTCTGAAAAATCTCATTTTGGGAACAATGACAGTGTTTCCAGAATGACAAATGCTTCCCAGTGCAAGCTACTGAATGAAATCAACATGATTTTTGCCTATTTTGTTTCTGTCTACAGACAAAGCCTCAGACACCCTGCTATAATCTCAGAAGTTGAATCCCTACCAAAGGCAGAGTTTTCAACACTTCCAGGCACCAACTCTATAGTGAAGAGACTAGAAGCACTAGGGTGTCCAGCCAAGAGCAATCTAGTGAGGAGAATGGCCTGCCCTGCAGCTGTGGTTGGGAGCAGCAAACTGACTTCCACGCCCCAACTCTACAACAGAGGCTAGAAGCCCCAGGGTGTCCAGCCAAGAGCAGTCTAGTGGGGGAGAATGGCCATGCACTGGATCTGTGACCTTGAATGCCTGGCCTCCCAAGTAATTCATTCAGGCATGGGGCTAGGAAACCAGTCACTCTGAATCCTGCCTGTGGTCCAACACACATTTATCAAAATAAAAAAGTTTCTGCAAAATATTTTCGTTTTGACAAATCAGCAGTTTCTAAAGAAATTGTGCCTTGTCAGAAAGTTCTTGATCAGCTCCAGCTATCTCTCACTGTCAATGAAATGTGAGTTTCATTTCTTATCTTTACCATGTTGTTAAATGCTATACTAAACTGGAAGGGGATATATTTTGCCTGTATACATCAAAATAGGACTTCAAAAAGATTCAGGATATAAGAGTACAAAACATGTCCTAACATACATCATCTATCGACTGATCAGCACAAATACTGTGAAAATCCAGAGCCTCATAAGTAGACTCTAAAGAAATGTCCTCTTGGTAGATTTTGATGTTCAGGTGTATGTAAGAATCTACATCACAATTATATAAGGGCCCTGCTCCTTGGAGGCGGTAGCAGCAGAGGCGCAGGGTGGTGGTGACACGGTGCTGGCCTCACCCGCCCTTCTGTCCCCTCCATCATTCTTCATGGGCAATTCACTAGTATCTTCATAAAAAGAATTTGTATAGCACAGTACGTTTACCAACTTATAAAGCAACACTTCATATAACGTAAAAAAAAAAAAAATTATGAAATGAAGAAGAAATTTTTCTCACATAAATAAAGATTAGTTGAATGATCTTGAATCAGAACTCAGAATTCCTAATTCAGATTATAAACCTAAAACTCTTACTCAAAGGAAATAGTTTGATTCATGCATACATGTCTGCTCTGAGGATCAGAGGTTCCCAAACATTTTCTTATTGCGTACCCACTTGCAGATTTACCAGCTGCCCACATAACCCTACCAGCATACTTTTTATCTCTTATTTTAACCCCTTAAATACCCATTATTATAATAACTGAAATCCGCCATTACACAAATTTCTCCCATATACCCCCCAGAGATGTCTTATATACCCCAAGGGGTACATGTACCACAATTTGGGAACCCCTGGAATAGACTGTTGCAAAACTGAAGCCTTGAAAATGAAGAGAGCTAGTTAGTTTTGGGACTAGTGAAAACACTGTGTACTTAAGTGCTGCTTATGGTACTGCAGTATTAGCTACCCTAAAACAACTTCTCACCATTGTGAATGCTTTCAGTAGCAGCTGCCTCTTCTTCACTGTTTCCGGTGAACTTAAATGTAGCACATATATTAAAGTAGATGGCAACATTTAGTGTGCACTTAGTTACAGTGTAAGCCAGTGGTGCTCACACTTTTAGCTCAGCAGGCCAGGTGAATGGTATGGAGCCAGCCTGTGGGCCAGACTGGGCCTCGCACCTAGCTAGAGCCCAATTCCTCCCAGGTGGGATCAGGTTCCACGGGCCTCACACTGCCCCTGCCTGATACTCAGAGGCATCCCATTCAACTGGTTAGTCAAATTAACCAGCAGTACAAGACAGACTTGTTACACCTGCTTATAAGGATTATAAAGGCAAAGTAACCTTCGCTAAATACAAGCCAAATCTAGATTTTACTAAATAAAAATACTTCTGAAAACATACAATAGTTACATAATAAAAATATTATTTATTACTTGACTATTATAGTCATTTAAGGCAGGGGTTGTCAACCAGGGGTATGCATACCCCTGGAAGTACTTCGACTGGTCTTAGGGGTATGCACAGGTGGGTGGAGACGCAATGCCGCCGCCTCCCAGAAGCAGGGCCAGGGCAGGGCGAGGGCAGCAGCACCCCTCTGCGGGGTGGGGAAGCTCACATGCAGCAGCCACTGCTGCCACACACCAGCGTGGTGAGCTTCCCTGCCCTGCAGAGGGGTACCACTGCCCTCACCCCAGCCTGGTGAGCTTCCCCACCCTGCCCCAGCCCTGCTCCTGGGAGTTGGTGGTGCTCTGTCCCCGCCCACCCACGCGCCATCCCCACCTCCCTGCTTTGTGTCTGCCTGCATGCTATCCCTCCCCCTCAACATCCAGCCATGCACTCCCTTCCCCCACCCGCTTCCCCCCTTGACTCAGTGTGCGGCCGCCGGGGGTACTTAGACTAAAAGTGGTTGAAAACCCCCTGATCTAAGGAATCTAAATTTCTTCTGCTCTTCTCTGTAAAGGTTTACTGGAGAAACCCTTATCCAGCTGGCTACAGTTAAACACAGTAGAACCTGTTCTTCCACATCACATGAAATGCATGAACTTTCTCTAAACTTTTGACTTTAGAAGGAAAAGGCTTATTGACAATGGAAGTAATGCAGTAGAATTTCACTTTAACTGTGCTAAGTTACTGACAATTTTTACACAGAAAGATTGCATAGAAAAGCATTGAAACAAATATGTATGTAATCCTTTAAACTTATATATGAAGATGCAAACTTCTAATTTAGCCTATGACACATCACAAAATGTGACATATTCTGCAACATATCTAGCATATGATAACTTGGACATTTAATGAAATCCCCACTGCACATCTAAATAAAGTGGAAACAGTGTGCTACTATATGCACATAAAGCTTCTTAAATGTTTCAAATGATAATACACTTGTGACACAAAAGAGATAAGGGTTAATCAAGGGAAACTATCAATAACGGTTAAACTGCCTAATATCTAAAAAGTGAGATCTGGAGACCAACTGTAATGAACTTTATCTCAAAGTTCCTTGCTCTAAAGCCCATGACAGTCAGCTCAGATTCCCAGTCTGAAGTTAGAAAATATCTAGACAGTGCAAAATTCCTATTGCAAAAGGGCCTGGAAGAGAATTAAATGGGGATTTGAAGAATGGGGAAAGCAGAATATTGATTCAAATAGTGTATTACAACAGCAAAGAAGAGGAAGGATATGTTTTAGGTTTCTGGCTAAAGAGTCTTGCCCCACTGCTCAGGGTCAGACTGATGCCATAGCCAGAGTGAGGTAGGAATTTTACCCCATGGTCAGACTGGTATGGACTGTGGGGGGTTTTGCCTTCCTCTGTACAGGGGGCACGGCCATTTACCCAGGATCTCTTCAGCGTATACTGACAACATTTCACAGAAGCAGGGCACTGGCTGCTGTGGTTCCCCTGCTTTGCCTATGGCAGGTAGGGAATTAGGTCTGTGTTGTGTCAGGGCTGACGGTCATCTTATGTAGAGTTTAGATTACGGATTGTGTAGGATGGTTTAGATAGGGATGGTTCTGTCTCAGGCAAGGAGCTGAACCAGATAACCTCAGGAGATTCCTTCTAGCCCTACTTCTGTATGAAAAAAAAAGAAACCGTCTGAAAAGGGATGTTCTCCTTCTGTCTAAGCTGCTAAATTGAAGCTCAGAGAAGAACATTACATTTTGCAATATAATGTCAAGCCACCACCAGTCTCTGGGTAGGGCAGGATATAAATCTAGAGAATAAATAGAGAGGTCAGTCAACCTGGGGACATTTGAGGAGCGACTGAGTGGTACCTGCACGGTGTGGGCTCAGGCTTTGTGCAGACATGGTAAAACGAGCCGTACAACCCCCCTGTAGGTAAGCACTTAGCCAGCGCTGGGATGCAGGGCTGCCTCTTATTCTGGGAATACACTAAGACTCTGCATTATCCCTCATTCCCTCCAAAACAGCTCTGGCTCATGGGTTGTGTGACTGCCCCTAGCTGCCCCCCATCTTTGTTTGTTTTTGGAAAAAAATTTCTATTCCAGGTCAAGTTAGCCCAATCAAATCCTAATCTGTTTGAATCATTCAAGAACCATATGTGGCCCTGCTACCGGCAACCATCCTCCCCTCCGCCCCCGCCTGGGGCTTCAGATACTTCCAAATCCTCTGGCACGCGTTCTACGTGCAGGCCTTTCAGATGCCCCCCAAATTTTGCTCGCCCTCAGCCATACAGCTGCAGGAGCAACCGAGGGAGGGGGTTTCCCATTTCCATGTGTAGCACTGGAAGCAGGCCACGATGTGCAAAGTCTCTGGGGACCAGCTCACCCTGCGGAAGGACCCGGGACATGGCTGTGTCTTAGGGACATCCTCATGGGCAGGGGGGCCTTTGTGAAAGAGGTTGGAAGGAGCACAGCCCCTGCCCCACGCACCCCCCTTCAGGCATCCAAGCACCTGTCTCTGTCCCTGTCCCTGCCCCTCCCCCTAGA